TTTGGACGGTATACATGTTGAGAGGAATATGTAGTGTGAATTTTAACATTTACATTATTTTTAAAATAAATCTGATATGTATGATAAGATTATAATCTGATATATTTAGCACTTTGATGATAATTTTAATACAATAATGAATTACTGTTATTTGATAAACTATATGGGAAATATTCTCGACATATAAATGTAAATAGGTATACAGGTATATTGTATAAAGTAATCAACATTATTTAAGACATTCATTATATCGAAAAGTATTTAATTTTTTCGAAAAATTTTTTGTTATTATAGAAAATTTAAGAAACAAGCAGCTCTAAAATTTTACATTTTCGTTATTTTGTTATCACACTTATTTTTAGAGGTGAAACCACTATACTCGTACATACTTTTGACGCCATGCCATGCTCAAGAGTTCGATTGGAATTAATAATAATTAGGTTATGAAGTATTCTACAAAATAATATCTACAAATTTATTATTATTCGACTCATTGGTTATCGGCTGAAATTGCTGATCATGTGTAATATTAAAAGGCCCCGGACGTACGCACAAGCCACAACCAGGTAGGTCAAATGGTGCCATTAAAATATACAAATTTGTGTTGGTTAACGATATTTTTAATTAAATATATTTATTTATTTTTTTTAACCCCGACATTATATAATATAGTAAATAACTAATATTATTGAGTAGTTCATTTTTTAATAATAAAATAAACTTATGAAATAATAAATATAATACATATCACTTAAACAAAAAACTAAAATTACGACTATTAATTATGAACAAACTATGAACTAAACTCCCTAAACTCGCAACTGAAATAATTCCTAATTCAAAAATCGTCGATAAACTAACAACGTTAAGAGGACTTTATATTTGCATGTGCTATCTTAGTCCAACTAACGGGAAGTACAGTAAGATCTACCTTACGCAGACTGCGTTTTAGAGTAAAATCACCTTTTATAAAATTAAAAGAGGATAATATTCAGCAGAGAAAGGCAATGTATTTTTTTTTCAAATTTTATAGTCATTTAAAAACTGCTGAGATGATTTCCCGCCCACTATCAAGCTATAAAATGTAAAAAAAAAATTCGAGGAAGTTAGAAAATAGTACAACAGAATCAAAATTATGAACTTTCTAATAAATATTGTACCTATCTGAATGTGTAAATAACTTTTAAATTTATGAAAAAAAAAAAAAAAAAAAAAACAAAACAAAACTTAGTAATTCAATTTCCTTCATTTTACTGTATTTATATTACCTATATAGACTAATAATAATAATGATAAATGGCTAATAATCACAGATATCGAAGGCTTCACTTAAAAAAAAAAATAATAAAAACGAAACGAAACAAAATACAAAATCACCACGTCTCACCGAGAGCAATAAATCGGAACTAGTGGTAAAATCTTCTGGCTGATTATAAACAATTCTTTGAAATATATAACCACAATACATTCATTGTTTGTTTAATCACAAGGCACAAACAACAAATTAATGTTCAATGCTAATAATAATACGTTACTGGTAATCGTTTCTACAACTTGTTAATAAGAAATAGGTAAAATATTTAGTATCGAATATTTACTATTCTTTTACTAATATACTATAAATTGTATTTTATTTTTCACGATTTAAATAAAAACCTATTTTATTTAACGGCATTATGATTTCCGATTATTATTCTCCTTAATCAACATGATAAAAACAAAATACGGACATCCTTCGCATGATATGTGGGAAGGTAAGAACATAGGGGGATTTAATGTATGCAACGATTAATCATGACTAACGAAAAACAATTCAGAGCGGAGTTTGGGTTATAATGTTGCTTTGTCAACAATATATATTTCATATTATGGTCAAATAATTACATACCTATGTAAAAATTTGATGGTAGAAAAGTTGTTCATAAAAAAAAAAATAAAGGCCCCTAACATTTTTTTACTAATACTTACATTTCGTATATTTTCCTGTTTTTCATCCGTTTTTTCGAATTTATTTCCAGAGATATTTCCGAGAAAATCAAAAAAATGACCTCAATAAAGTATTACCTCAGTAATCAAAATTTCTGGTAGAAAAGTTGTCCACAGAAAAAAAAATAAATAATAAACATTGTAAAACTAAAAAAAAGCGCCTACATTACAACACTCAAAACCTAAAAAAATATTACTGTATTTTATATTTCTTTTACATAATCTCTATAGATTTTCAATATAAATCTAAAATTATTTATGTTATGAAAATAATTATAAAATAATTTTTAATTACTACTCTGGCTTTCCAAACAAGTTATTTTAAATTACTTTGAATCATCTGACTTTTGTGTCTAGAAAATATTCGCATAAGTATACAGTGAAATTGTCATATCTCTGAAGTTATTCATTGCTGAATTGTAACCAAAAAAAAAAGTTTTGTTCTTAACTATTGCTTTTTTCCATGTTATAAAAAAGTACTTACTAGAAAAGTATTGATTATTGAAGCCACTCTTGGTTGAAACTTGTACACAGAAAAAGAAATACATATTTTAGTAAAACTATTACATTCCTTTGGTAACTTGGAATCTAAAATGTCTATATGCCTAATTCTCCAGCAACAAAATTTAGAAATATAACGAAAAAAATAGATCATAATATTATTAAATTGCATTGTTTAAATTTGAATATTAGGTTTAATATGATTATTTTATTTATATTATTTAATCTTTTTTCTACTAAAAAACGTATATAAACATTATAGTATTGAAATACATAATTGTATAACATAATTAACTAATATATAAATTACATTGTAACTAATTTAAATATTTTTTAAATATGTAAAATATTATATTTATTATATTGATGTTCTTATTTCTGTTGCAATTTTATATAGATACAGATCTAAATCCAATTATTTAAAAATATAAATTAATTTTACATGAAAAATCAAGATAATATTGTTACTTGTATAAACTATAAACCTTTAAAAAATTTACTATGCATAATATTTTGCAATAAAATAAATATAATGTATAAAATATGAAAAAAAAAAAACTAAAAACAGTAATATATATATATATATATATATATATGTATGAAATTTAATTATAATTGGTTTAAGCATAATAGTTGATATTGGATTTCTTTTTCGCTTGCACTTCCATTATAGCATCCACAAAATCTTCATGAGTAATAATTGTTGCATCTCTTCTCAAAGCAATCATTCCCTGAAATGATTAATTTAAAATTATTTTACTTCACTTTCAGAAATATAACAATATATTATATTTAATTATTTATATAGAAATATAATATGTGCAATATTATAACACTTTTAAAAAATTTACCTCTAAAGTGGTGCTCATAAATAAATCAGATCATTAACATATAAACATTACATCTTTTTTTTTGTTTATTATGTTTAAGTTATTTTGGTGAAAATAAAAATTTTATTTTTCTTACTTATAAACAATTAATTTTTCTTAAATTCCAACAAAAAGATATACCAAACAGATAAAATTAAATTAAAAATACAAAAAAAAATTTCAAGACAATGCTGGTTAACCATTTTATAGATTTAAAACATGTATCTGCCTTATAGTATAATAAGTAATTTAAATTAATTTTTATTTATCATGTAGCCATTTCATTAATGCAAATTAAGGAAATGTCTATAATTTTTTAATTAAATTATTTTAAAAAGTATTTACTATTTATTATTTGTTTTATAATTTACTAGCCAATGAGTAACAAAATACGTACAGTAACATAAATATTGAAAAATTATTTTTATCTTAAAATTTATGAAAATTACATGATACGTGCACATATATAATGAAAATATTTTAAATAAAATTAAAAACCTCTTTAATTTAAGGACATAAAAATAGTATTCTATATCAATATTTTTTAAATAATAGTTAATATTTCTTAATTAAAGGTCTTGTAATAAAATTAGCTGACTTATGTGTACAAAATAATTTTTTTCTATGAATTCTTTTTGGAACTGGTGGTATTTACATATAACCTTTATAATATTCTACAATACGTTTTTTTTTGTCTATATAATATAATTATATATATATATATATATATACTATGTAGGTATATATTCATTTATTTGAAATACATTTTATATTTAATATATTTAAAATAGATTTTACATATTTTCTTTTATCTTTTATTTTAACACATACAATCTATAATAAAATTATTTACAATAGGAATGTTTTAAGATATATAATATATTATAGACATGATTGAAATAAAGAAGAATATATATTTATATATAAGAATTATAAACAGATTGTTTATTAAAAGTTAGAGATAATATAATTGAATTAAAATCTGGATAATATACTATAGATGAATTAATTAAAATTGTTAAACCACTAATAATTTCTATAGAAAGTTATACTGCTGTGGATTTAAAAATTATAAGAAATAATTTAAATTTTGTAATTAATTTTAACCAGTTGGATAATTATATTAAAAAAAATATAGGAAGACTTTATAAGTGATAATAAATTAAGTTTATTTAATTTACTTTGTAAGAAATGTTGGAAATACCCATTTGGAATTCTTATCAATGGATATAGCAAATAATCATCTCTATAATAAATTAGATTAATTTTTATGTGAACATTAAAAAAACGAACCTTAATCGTTCAATATTAACGTTAAACGTTAATTGTTAAATATTGAATGTTTATTTTTAATCGTTGAATATTAAAAAATATGTATTTTTCTATAATAAATGAGAAGGCTTGAACAAATTCAAAACAATCTTAAGAAAAAAAATAAAAGTAGAATAAACTTATAAAAATCTAATAAAATACAAAAAACAGTACATTTTGAAGAGAAAAACAGAACCAACAGAAGCAGAGATTAATGAAACAGTTAATCTTGAAAAAAGTTACGAAAAATATATAAAGATGACGCCGAGAAAAAACTTAATGATGAAATAGCAAAAAAAAAAAACATTTGAACTTATTACCAAGGAATTAAAAATGTTGAAGACGCTATTAGAAAAACCTGATGATGACATTAAATCAATTTTAGTACCTATGAAACCGTTAACACTAACATTAGATTTTATTACCATATAACAGAAAATGATGCACAACTGAAATAAATTAAATCTGCACATATTAAAAAATAGCTGTAACAATTCAAATTGCAAACAATCAAATTGGAACAGAAACCAAAGTTTAACTTAAATGAAACACAATTAAATAAATTAAACAAATCTAAAAAAGAAAATAGAGGATCAAGATTAGAATTAAAATTTGAACAAATTAAACAAGGTGGATTTCTTCCACTTCATTTCACTGGAATAGGAACTGCAAGTGAAGTAGGGTGAATAAGTTTGATTGCAAATCCTATTATAGAAGGAAAACATAAGATAGCAGCAGAAAAAGAACAAGAAAGTTATAATAAGGAAATAGAAAAATTGATAAAACTTTACAAATTGGATCTGGAATTAAATAGAAGAAAAAATATCTTAATACTTCCTGTCTTAAAAAAAAGAAAATTGATCGATTAACTAATTTTGATATCATAAAAGTTGGTTGAAAAATTAAAAATTTTTGAGNAGAATATTAAATTTAAATAATTCCAATCAAGAAGGATCACATTGGGTTGAATGGATAAAACATGAAAATTTAAATATTTATTTTGAATCTTATGATTATGCTAATCCACCAAAAGAATTGGTAAAATATTCAGGAGAAAATAATATTAAAATAACATCTAGAAGATTTCAATACTATTATGATCCGCCTATTTTTGGATATTTGTGTTTGAATTTTATTAAAAATTATAAAAAATATACCTAATTTATATATCTAAATCTTTTTTTAATCAGGTCTCTGATTTAAAAAATATTCATATTTCTTTATTAAAAAAAAAACTTTTATTTTCTTTAAATAGTAAAAAATAGGAAAAAATAGCTTTAACAATTCAAACATTTTAAGAGAGTTAAAGATAATGATGCATTGTTCACATTGGCTTCTACAACTGCAGCAATACCAGCTGTTGGAAAAGTTATTATTGAGGATTTTAATATTACGATCCCACCAGTGGAATATCAAGAAATGTATAAAATAAAATTAATAAAGGAATTAACAAAATTATCTCAAGGAAATAATTACAGGTTAAATTTTAAATCTTGGCAATGTATGGATGAAACCAATTTAATTGGTAAAACATTTAAGAGAAATATGGCAAGTAGATATAGAAATAATCATAATCCATTATTCGCAATTGTAGTATTCCAAACAAATTTAGATAACAGGATTAGATTTAAACTAACAAGATTAGAAACAGGATTAAAAAAAGCTTCTGTATTTGATCATTGTTATATAAAAAATCTTAAGTTGAAAATTTATGGATAGAGATATCCACAAGAATCATTAAATTTAGATCCAAAAAATGAGAAATTTTCACTTGCCTATAATATGTATATATCATATCAGAAAACTTTCCATAAATACATCAAGAACTTTTACTGATAACACAAAACACAATTAGAAAAAATATCTAAAACTATAGAAATATTTTTTTAATAGAAATATTCTATTAAGAAAGAAAAATTAATTTATTATTTTAATAAATAAGGACAACGAATTTTTAGAACCAAGACACTGTCACAAATGCAAAAAGAAAATTAAAAATTTTAATTAATTCAAGGTTCAATCAGTGGTCTATGGAGAATTTCAACACAATGTTTAAAATATAAAACAAACAAATGTAAATTTATTAAAACTCTTATAGGAAAAGAAAATCACATAGTATTGATGATTTGTGGGCTGCAGATTTAGTTTTAATGAAAAATTATGGTGATGAAAATTCAGGTTATTTATATATGTTGAATATTATAGATATTTTTTCAAAATTTACTTGGTCTGAATCTCTTATGAAAAAAGATTGCAAAAATGTTACTAAAGGTTTGGAAGAAATAATAAAAAGAGTTAAACTACAGAAACATAATTCATCAACTGCATTACCAATTACTTCACACTGATATAAGAACAGAATTTGTAATTAAACCGATTAAGGAAATGTTAACAAAATACAATATAAAATTATATCATACACAAAATGAAAAGAAATCTGCATATATAACAGATTTTTAAATGGTGAAATGAGAAGACAGTTTGAAGTTCAGAAAAATAAAAGATGGGTTGATATGAAAAAATATATTTTACATTATATTAATCTTAGGCTTTATTTAAGTTTAAGTTTAAAATTAGAGAAAATACATCGAGTTATAAAATTTGAACAAAAAGATTGGTTGAAACCATATATAGAATTTAACACAAATCTTCATATAAAAACTTCATGTAATGAATTTGAAAAAGATTATTATAAGTTAATGAACAACAGTGTATTTGGTAGGACTATGATGAACACATGAAATCATATAGATATAAAATTAATTAACGATAAAAATAGAAAAATGGGTTGATAAACCAAATTTTGATTGAGCAACTCTTTTTACAGAAAACTCAGTAGCTGTACATATGAAAAAAACTATGGTTGAATTGATACAACTAATTTATTTAGGAATGTGTAGTTTAGATTTATCTAAAACTCGAAAGTACTGTTTTTATTATAATGTATTGAAAAAAGTATTAGACACAGACACAGATTCTTCAATAGTAGAAATTACAGCTGATGATTTTTATACAAATATAGAAAACAATAAACAACTTTTAAATGAATTTGATTTTTCAGATTATCCNTTATATACATATAAAATATTTGAAAATAAAAATGAAATTAAAAAAGCAAAAGGTGTGAAAAAACCTATAGTAAAAAATGAATTATGTTTTAATGATTTTTATAATTGTTTAAACAATAAAAATCCAAAATATGTAAAACAGAACACTTTTAGAACAGATAAACATGAAATTTATACTGTTGAACAAAATAAAAAAGCCCTTAGTGCATATGATACTGTAGCTTGGGGACATTATTCAACCAAAATAAAAAGAGAAAATTTCAGAGAATACCTTGATAATTTAATAAAAACAAATAATAAAAAATAATGTTAATTTAATTATTATGAAATTTAATTTTTCAAATATTATTTTTTTTTTAAATATAATTTTTTCAAATATTATTTTTAATATTATTTTTTTTTAAATATTATTTGTAATTTTATTTTTTTAATTCATTTTTTTAAATATTTTTTTTAAATTTTTTTATTTCAAATATTATTTTTATTTTATGCAAGTGAACAAAGAACAGGAAATAAAACAATGTGAATATAGATCAGAAATTTGTTTTAAAGGGAAATTATCAGAAGTGGCCAGAACTAGCATACTACTTGTATATGTCATATAAGAAAACATTCCATAAAACACATCAAGAACTTCCTCTGATGTATCTTAAACCTATTGAATTTAAAAAAGCAAGACCAATGTATGTATTAAATCTTACTGGGTAACCTTATAATGTTAGTGGAAATAGAAATAATATTATATTGAACGTAGAATTTAATAAGGATGTACCAAATGGTACAATTTGCTATATTTGTTTAGTTTCAAGTTCCGAATTTACATATATCATCCAAAACACAATTAGAAAAAACATCGAAAACTATAAAAATATTTTTTTAATAGAAGTATTCTATTAAGAAAGAAAAAAATTAATTAATTATTTTAATAGATATGGACAAAGGATTGTTAGAACCAATATATTGTCACAAATGCAAAAAGAAAACTAAAAATTTTAAACCAATCAAGGTTCAAACAACAAATGGTCTATAGAGAATTTCAACACAATGTTTAAAATATAAAACAAACAAAAGTAAATTTATTAAAACTCCTTTAGGAAAAGAAACAATTTCAAAAATAAAATTTGAAAAAATAACAAAGCAAGATAAACGAAGTATTGCAAAAGAACTTCATAAACCAGTAAGATCTCTATTTCTAAAAAGGAAAATAAAAACATATGGTATTGATGATTTGTGGCCTGCAGATTTAGTTATAATGATAAATTATGGTAATGAAAATTCAGGTTATTTATATATGTTGAATGTTATGGATACTTTTTCAAAATTTGCTTAATCTGAACCCCTTAAGAAAAAAGATGAAAAAAATGTTACTAAAGGCTTTGAAGAAATAATAAAAAAGGCTAAAAAACAGAAACATAATTCACCAACATTACTTCACATTGACATAGGAACAGAGTTTGTAAATAAATAGTTTGAG